TTTTTTTTTTTTTTTTTTTTTGCGTTATGTGGGCCTCTCACTGTTGTGGCCTCTCCCGCTGTGGAGCACGGGCTCTAGGTGTGCAGGCTCAGCGGCCAAGGCCCACGGGCCCAGCGCATGCGAGATCCTCCCAGACCAGGGCACGAACCCGTGTCCCCTGCATCGGCAGGCGGACTCCCAACCACTGCACCACCAGGGAAGCCCAAACTGCACTTCTTGATTGAAGATGTTTACCATCAAATATAGCATTAGCTACAATGAAATACATTTTATTTGTATAGTTACTGAGCATTAAGTGACAGAATCAACCACACGCACTACTCCATACCATGGTGCCCTTGCTAAGGCCAGGACGGTCCAAAAACCAAGCAGGACTTAGCCTCTCACTTAGGGTTTAAGTCCCTTTTCTTAGCTAGAAATTTTCTCTTTGCTCCTCCTTCACAGTCCTGTTAGAAAATTAGACATATTTCTCTACAAAATGTATGCTTATTTATATTCATCATGCTATTTCTGTTTCTCTCACTAGTGATTTGATAGGAGAGATTACTTCCCTATTCCTCTGCAATTCATGGAGAATAGCTACAAAGTACTGGCCAGTGAAGTGCACACTTTAGGAGGAAAGAGAAAATGTGGAACATCCTGAAGAGACAGTTGGTATTTTCCAAGACACTGCTGGCTCTAAATTAAACATGAAGCAAGATTCCATGATGCGCAGCTGAAAATGGGTACCAAGCAGACAGAGACTCAGGTCATACTCCCAGATCTGGATAGCAACTGAGGAGAAACAGACCTCAGACTGTGTGAAATGGCTGTGCCTTCCATTCCTCTAGAGAGCAGGAACATGGGAAATGTCTCAGGTTACAAAGAAATTAGGAATGAATGCCATCTGTAGGACTTCAATGCAGTGTTTCATCTCAGCCACTGCCATGCTTAATTACACGCAGTGATTTGGGACAGTGAGTGGTCATATGCATAGAATGAGCAATAATCTTTTCCCACCCTAACACAGTGCAAAGAAATGAAGTATGCCTACTAGAAACCATGGCTCATTGTGAATCAGGACTTGAGGGGGTGGTGGGGACAAAGTACACCAACCATTCCCAATCCTCCAATTGAGCACTGCTTTATTAACCGTTCGGTCTCCACCAATCTTAAAGCCATCCTATATAACCTTATAGCCAGAATCCTATATCCAAACCATAAGAGAGATGAAATAGTAAGCAGATCGAGAAACAGTATTAAACTTTTATATTTTTTCCTTCTCTTAAGGCAATTTTCATTTTTGCAACTCCCAACTGAAACCAAAAAAGAAACATTTAGACTCAGAATATGAAGTGCAGAAAAGACCTCAGAAATCATCTCAACTACCTTCTTCATTTTATAATTGAGGAAACGGTTTCAGAACTTGCCCTAGCCCACAAAGTCAAGCAGTAGAATAGATGGCACTTGTGATCCCCACGTCCAATGCTCTTTCCATTTCAAGACACGGCTTTCTTAGCTACCTTAACTTCAAGAACTTTTTAAATGTTGTCAAACACTAGGAGTGAGGACAAATGGGAAATACTGCTTTGGCATCATTGGTTTTACAATGTAATTATTTCTTTGTGAGGAATTTAATATTGTGAGGCATTTCCCAATGCCCTGAATTACATGACATTGGTGAGTATAAAGAAGCATTAACCCAAGATGATGCTGATGACAAACTGTTCAACTCAGCATATACGCCCAAAGAAAAGAAAACAAAAACCCTCCTTGAGCAAGTTGGGTAAATTCATATAGACCTTTCTTAAGAGGGAAAGAAAAATGCTAGAAATAGTTATAATTATGCAAAAATAACCAAACAAATTCCTGAATGAAAACTTACTCCCCAGTTCAGTTTCTTCTCTGATCCTCTGAGCGCTTAACCAGTTGTTTACAACATAATGGCTGCCATTTTACCTGTAATGTCTAGCAAGCCATCAAAATTTCTGTGGATTCAGGAATGTTAAGGACTACATGGATATTTTTAAGTTTAATTCTACTGTTCTCTCTGCCAAGAATTCCTTCTTCTTTTTATCACATGTTCAAATTCTTTAAATTCAATCTCAAACCCATCTCCTCCCAAAGAGGCTTTCTCCAAGCTGAAATTAATTCCTTCCCTCTGCACTCCAAGAGCACTCTAGCCATGCCTTTCTTACAGCACTTCCCACTGCCTCCCTGTACTGGAAATTCCTGGGCATGTCTTATTTCCCTAAGGGCAAGGTTTTTAAATTCATTTTAGAACCCTATTAGTGCCTTGAATTCATTCAACATTTCTTGAACCAAATATGTACCAGTGCACAAGCTATTTTTAATAATTCAAAAAAGCCTAAATTTACTGGTGGTAAGAGAGCACAGGCCAACTAAAACAAGATCTTTGCTTTTGGATGAAATTATATCAACTCAGCACAGTAATCAGATGATCTGATTATCAGTTATATATACATATCTGATTAATAATAAACAGATAAATATAGCTTCTTCTAGTAAACAAAGATTTTTAAAAACTGGAGCCTCTTGGCATGCATTCTGGTATATGGAAGAGTAAAAGAGTATAGACTTTGGAAGGTGGTTTTTACAGCCTACCCAACTTGAGTTTCAATACTGGTTCCTTCACTTAATCAAGTAAATTATCACAGACTTGAGACTTCAGATCAGTTACTTAACCAAGCCTCATTTTTCTTATTTGTAAAATACGGATAACATCACTGACCTCATAGGGCTATCATAACGATCGAAGGAAATCACACAAAGTGCCTATTATTGTGTCCTTCCTCTTTACTAATTTATTGTAGAATTTATTTTCTATTATAGTTTTCTTTTCCAGTGTCTGCATTTTAAACAGGACAAATACCTCCATAATTTCAAGAAAATAACAAATCCTGCATTTGATTTGGCCCAGAGATTGACTGTATTGCACCTACAAAATATATAATGATCTTCACTGAACAAAACTGGTTTTAGCTGCAGACAGCTTCTCAGGGTGCACAACTCTAGCCACCTGTGAGGGAGATAAGACAGAGTGTGGGCTCTCTGTACTGACAGTACCCACAAAAAATAGACTTCCTTTTCCTTCTGAACACAGAAAAAAGATGCTACTTTATGCATAATCACTAACATATCAGGAACCCTAATGGAAGATTATTAAACACAAAACTCTAACTTTATTCTTAACTTTATTGTCAAGCTTCATGAGAACAGACACCACGTACTATAAAATTTTGTATCCCTCATGACACTTTGAGCACAATAAGGACTCAATAAATATCTACTTAAACCTGTATTTCTGTATTGTCCCCTTCTGACCAGTTCCACAATTCACATACTTATTGATACTGACATATGTCACCTTAAACCTGTATTTCTGTATTGTCCCCTTCTGACCAGTTCCACAATTCACATACTTATTGATACTGACATATGTCACCTATGGACGTATAATGAGAAACCTAAGAATGAGCCAATTTGACTTCAGAGACTCAGGTCAGTTAACTAAGGAAACCAGAATCCTAAGTATGTTACCAGGAGGGTATATATACACAACGATGTAAACACAGGCATGAATGTACTACCAAGGCTCACTACATTAAACCACCCAGTACTCACAGAGGCAAAGGTGCCAATCTGTTTGATATTCTGTTCGTAGCTCTGTGAGCTGGTGGGACGGCCAGGGGTTCTCCTGGAGTACCAGAAAGTGTAGTTATACTGCAGGGGGTGCTCTGCTGGCCCAGGGACAACAGCCTGTGAATTAAAGAAGGTGTGTTAATCTGGGCATTTTTCACATGCTCTGAGACTGAGAAAACATTTTACAGTGTCACCCCTTACCACCTCCACACTTAAAAAGGACACATCCTCAATTACCTGCAGTGGGCTCAAGATTCTGCTGACACAGTTATTTAGTGGTTAACTGACTCTAAGTTCCTGTTAACATTTTCTCTGTTCTTAATGCTTTCATAACTTTCCGATTCCTATCATAGATATTTAAGTTTGTATCCTATCTCAACATATTCCCAGGCCAAGTCGGCCTCCTCTATGACACCCTATCACTTACTGGCTAATGACGCTGGGCAAGTTGCTTAAGCAGTCTGTGCCTCAGCTGCTTATCTGCAAAGTGGGGAAAATAATAACCACCACCTCATGGGGCTGCTGAGAGGATCAAATTAATTAACAGATGTAAAGTGCTTAGCACCATGCCTGGCACAGAGTAAGTACTCAATAAATGACAGCTACTAGTATTACTGGTACTGTTAAGTGTAAACTCCTTCCTCCACAGTCTCATCCACCTTTGTGTCCTCTTAGCATCTGAAACGCCTGCGTCTGGAAGCTACTCGATACTGTGGATAAATCAGCTCACACTATTACTAACTCAACAGTCAAAAATTCTAAGTGATGCGCAGGATTTGAAATACTGAGCAGCAGCTTCTGAAGCAATTAACACCCTTGTTAAACTCCAGGGTTTATCTCCCCTACCTCAGGCTAGGAGAATGTTGGAAAGCAAGGCAGCACCTCAAGATCGTGTGGCAAGGGAAAAGTTCTAAGTCGCAAAATGAACTCCAGTGATTCAACAACCTTTTTTGAGAACAAAATCAGATATTACAAAACAGGATGCCATCAAGTTAATCTGCATCTTCCAGATTTCCCAAGATAACCAAGTCTCAAGTCCAAAGGCAACCACATCTATGCAGCACAAAACTCACCTTCCTCTTGCTGCTGCTCTGACTCCTGTCTCGTTCCGTTTTTTCCTTCTCACCATCTTTCTGTGTGCTGTTTTCTTCATTCTGATCGTGGTCCCCACTGTCATCATCTTTCAATCTAAATGGAAAGGCAAAACAACGTTACCCCATGACTGAGCTGATTCCTGCTTATCTAACAAAGCCACCAGGTCAAATGAACTACCAGGAAACCAACCCGAAGTCACTCAAAGATACAGGCAATGAGGTGCACATGAGATGAGAGATGGCAAAGAATGCAGAATGGCAATTAGGAGGATTAAACAAAAATGAAACTGCCTATCAGCTAACTTGTGAATTCCAGAAAGCTCCACATTCTAGTTTTCTAAAAGGCTGCGCAAAGAAGCGAGAGGTAAACGGTGAAAGGGATTGTTTTCTTTGCCAAAAATAGTCAATAATGAGAAGAATTTCTGGATTAAATAAGTGCTTTGGCATTTCAAATGAAGTTAAAAAACTTACTTTTCTTTCTTGCCACTTCTTCTAACCATCTCTCCTACCCCCTCCCCATTGCTGCTGCCTTAGTTTAGGCCTTCTTCCCCTGTCATCTCAATCACGTTGCCACCAGCATGTTCCTTCTAAATGCAAACCTAATCATTTAACTTCCATGCTTAAAACTCTCAACTGTCCCTTGCCCTTTGATGTCCACCATGCAGGATAAAGTACAATGAAATATAAGATGCTCTAGAATCTGACTCCTGTCAACTGGCATCCTCCTTCCCTCCTCCCACCTCCCCAAGCAACCTATACTCCCACATCTGTGTTATTTGCAAACACTACCCCCTTAGCATAAGGTACCATTCCTCCCACATCTGTTTTTCCTACTACAGGGGGCCCTTAGAAGTGTCTTATTAATCTTTGTATCTTCAGCATCTAGGACAAGAAGATGCTGCCCTAACATGTAGCACCAGAAGATGCTGAATTGATGTTAAATGAAAAGAAAAAGAAATTAAAGAAAGGAACGTCTTCTTGCCTTTTAAGTCAAATGTACTTTAGGTGCCACCCTTTCAGAAGCAGTGAAACCACCCTAAGTTTTGTGTAGTGGTTTGCTATGATTTCAAATCCACTTATTTATGACTTAAATGAAGATATTTTAATCCACCTGTTTATGATAAAGACAAAAAAAAAGTTGTTTTTAGAAGTAAAGTTGTTTTGATGAAAGAATGAAGTGTGTCAGGATGCCATCTTATCTGCTGTCATTGTTAAGCACTAGCAGCTCACTTGCCGAGTGGCACCACTGGGGCCTTATCAATAAAAACAAATAAAGAAGGAACTATGGTGAGGGGACACTTAGACTATAAATACTGAGAGTTGTGTGAGGAATATCCAAGCGTCTCTGTCCGGGCAAAGCTATCCTTTGCTGATCCTGCTCTCTGAAGATCTCAAGCCACTCGCTCCTGGTTGGCAGTGATGTTAAACCCTGCAGCAGTCTCAGGAAGAGAAGGGACATTAGTTCCTGCTGTGGTCGAGGTGACTCCTTTAGCAGTGGTGACAAACCATGTAACGGCCCCACAAAGATCAGCCTGCCCATCAACACCAGTGCTGTAGTTTCCTAGCAGTGTGCTCTAGCAACAAGCGACTTTTATTTTTGAGCTGGCAGCTGGACTTCAGCTGCTGGTTGGCAAACCCATCTCACCCAGTACCAATTCATATAAAGGTACAACTGAACTAAATTTGGACCTTATTCATCTTCCTTTGCGTGGAACAACAGTGTGATTAACCTATCATTGGTTTGGAGTATGGTATGCTATTTCTTTATTAGCTTAATAAGGGGCATCTGCATGCTATTGGCTTATGAAATTACTGTAATCCCCACAATGAATCTGTGGTAAATAAGCCATTGGCAAAGAAAACCCGTCTCTGAGCATCATTTGCCCCCAGCCCCCCAAACACAATACTAAGGCTTTCAGTGAACCTGAAGTTCACTAGATCCAGACAAAAAGATAAATGGAAGGTGAATTCACAAAGATAGTAGGAATGCTGTTTAGTCTAGAGCTGGACCATTAACTTACAGATCTTTTCTGAAATCACTTTTCTGGCCCTATCCAGTCAAATGGAATCTGGCAATTCTCAGGAAAGGTACTAGAAGTGGTCAAATTGTAACTCAGATACAGGAATACCTCAGAGATATTGTGGTTTGGTTCCGCAATAAAGCAAATATCACAATAAATTGAGTCATGCAAATTATTTGGTTTCTCAGTGCATATAAAAGTTATGTTTTCACTGTACTGTAGTCTATTAAGAGGGCAATAGCATTGTTTTTAAAAAGTATGTATCTTAATTTAAAAATACTTTATTGTGAAAAAATGCTAACCATCACTAATTACACAGGGTTGCAATAAACCTTCCATTTGTTAAAAAAAAAAAAAAGAAAAAAAGCGGTATTTGCAAAGTGCAGTAAAATGAGAGGTATGCCTGTATTACCTTATAGATGCAAAAACATGCTGCCAAGTTTTTTGCACTGTTTTTCTTTTCGCCCATGAACCCCCAGTGCCTACCACATAAAAAGTGCTCAAATGTTAAAATGGATGGGCTATGCATGCGCTGGGGTGCCTGCTCTGCCCACTTCACAGCCCTAGCTGTAGGATATACTCCCGAGAGCGTGCATGGTGCCATGACCGTCCCCAACCCCACCCTGGCCAAGACATGACTGTGAAGGAAGGGCACCAGACTAAAGGGTGGCCCAGCCTGGCCAATAAGCGATGCCTCAGGGGCTTGCTCAAAATTATGAGCCAATTCCTCCCTCGGCTTTTCATCCAGGAGATGAAAGATCATATGGATTCAGGAACTAGGGCACTCATATGAGTCTCATACAAAAAAAAGCCATGAGGGAATAAAGACAACAAGCAAGAGCACAGAAAGTCAGTAGGGGCAAAGGAAATGAGCAGATGAGCAAAGAGTGGAAAGGAGAATGGTTCTGTCTGTGATGCTGCCATCTCTTTGGCTTGGTTCACCCTCCCTGGACTCCTGGGAGACCTAATGGTGCTTACAATGCCCCTTTCCCTTCATTAAACTTGAGCTGGTCTGGTTTCCTTTTCAAGAGGAACCTGTCTAGCATGCAAGTCCCACAACATTTACAAGCATACTGTGTGTTTAAGAATACCTATGGAGGGCTTCCCTGGTGGCACAGTGGTTAAGAGTCCACCTGCCCATGCAGGCGACACGGGTTTGAGCCCTGGTCCGGGGGGATCCCACATGCCGCGGAGCAGCTGGGCCCGTGCGCCACAACTACTGAGCCTGCGCTCTAGAGCCCGCAGGTCACAACTACTGAGCCTGTGTGCCACAACTACTGAGCCTGTGTACCTGGAGCCCGTACTCTGCAGCAAGAGAAGCCGCCGCCATGGGGGGCCCGTGCACTGCAACAGGGAGTGGACCCCGCTCCCTGCAACTAGAGAAGGCCCACGCTCAGCAATGAAGACCCAACACAGCCAAAAATAAAATAAAACAAAAAATAAGAATACCTATGGAATACCTGACACACTGTTTGACCTCAGCATGGTACAACCAACTCCTTTCCCTCCACTGGTCAGCCTACTTGCAGTCCCCGACCTCAGCCCTCTGTTGTGTTCATCACCTGGTCTCTGCTCAGAGAGCTCCTCTTCCCCTACTTAACTTGTCCTTCAGGATTCAGACTAAGGACACTTTCTCTCTTTTTAAAAAATATTTATTTATTTATTTATATTTTGGCTGCATTTGGTCTTCATTGCTACCCACAGGCTTTCTCTAGTTGCAGCGAGCGGGGGCTACTCTTTGTTGCGGTGCGTGGGCTTCTCATTGCGGTGGCTTCTCTTGTTGTGCAGCACGAGCTCTAGGCGCACAGGCTTCAGTAGTTGTGGCACACGGGCTCAAGAGTTGTGGCTCACAGGCTCTAGAGCGCAGGCTCAGTAGTTGTGGGGCATGGGCTTAGTTGCTCCGTGGCACGTGGGACCTTCCAGGACCAGGGCTCGAACCTGTGTCCCCTGCATTGGCAGGCGGATTCTTAACCACTGAGCCACCAGGGAAGTCCAGGACCACTTTCTCTTGAAAATATTTTCTGATCTCTCTCTAGGCTGAGTTGGGATTCCCTCTTCTGAACATCCCCATATAAACGTTTGTACTTGTCCCAGCTGTACTGTCATGGCCGGTTTTTTGTCTCCTGATTATGAACATTTCATGAGTTTTTTTTTTAATTGCTCAGGCCCAAGACAGCTCCTAATTCTCTTCTTTAGGGCATACCACAGGGACTCACATCATTTCTCTCTTCTCAGTTCCCAACTCCCCACTATATCCTTTGGGGTCCTTTCCCTTCAGTCTTGATTAAAGAGGGGCACAGTCACCCCAGCATCTTACATTTTTCTAGCCCCAAGCGAAGCATATAAATGCCTTTCTTTTTAGTGCTTTTGCTGCTAACCACTAGGAAACAGAAAAATAACAAAAATAATTATGCCAGAGAAGAAACAATGCTACTGCGATCCCTGGACCCCACCTCCCGACTCCCTTCTAAGATAGTAAATGGAAACCCTAATGGACCTTCATCTTATGCTGTCATTTCTTGAGGGTGGAGCTAAGCAACCACTCTGCTCTCTGAGCCTACACTTAAGGCAAGGCATTTGCATCCTGTCTTCTGGAGGCTACTCTTACCAGCCTGAAGCTGGATGTGAAGCAAAGATACAATCCAGACAGAAAAATCAGTGCTCAATACACTTAGGCAGGCAATTAGCATCTGAAGCTGTCCAGGCTGAGTGGCACCTAATTAGCTCACCAAGCTTCTGCCCAGGTATGTCCTCATACTCTAACTAGACGATTCACTGCAGGTAGGAACTTGGTCTAATTCATAATTCATCTTTACATGTCCAGCATCAGGCAGTGGCAGAAAGCAAACACGTTTAATGAATGGATTTCCAAAATCAAAGCAATACGAGGCAGACTAGGATGAATGTCGAACAAGTGGTTCAGACAGTAATTAAGAATGGGCCAAGGCTAAGAAAAAAAGAATAGGGACAAAATCAAATATGGCATCTAGATTTGAAAACCAAGCTCAACACCGTAGGGACTGCAGTATAGTGAAAGCATCTTAGGCTTTTACATATGAATAGGATCAATGGCAATGGTAGCTAATGACGTGATGGGGGGGGTGGGGTGGCGGCTATTAGTTTAGGTCCCTAGAAGGCCACACAGAAAAGGAGACTAGAGCTCCTCTTTAATCTGAGCCCATCAGATTAGACTACAATACTCAACTCCAGGCACTGGACTTTTAGGACTCCGGCAAACTGGAACATGTCCTTAGGAGCCATGTGGTGAAGAATGCAGAGACCAAATATGCAGCCGTGGTCTAAAAACTGCACACTTTTTTGCATGAAAAACAAAGACAACGAAAACAAAACTAAGGGCTGAAGTGCTGTCTTCAATTGCTAATTTCGAATGAAAGCTTTGTTTTTTTCCTGCATAGCTAGAAGACAGATGTTCAGTATAATGAATAGTTAACAATTAGAACTAATTAAAAATGGCCCAGGTTAATTTTTGTCAAGATGTGCTTGAACAAATGTTAAACAACAAACCTGGGTTCGAATCTCACCATATGGCCCTTCCTGTTGTTGTGGGCAAGTTATTTAATCTCAGAGTCTCATTTTCCTTATCTGTAAAAGGAGGTAACATGATCCCCTTACAGGGTTGTTAGAATTAGTAGAAACAATATGTGAAAAATAGCAAAATGCCCGTGGAAGCCATTACTGCCACGCTTAAATTAGCTTACTGCAAACCTCAAAATGATCTGGGTAGGGCTGGGCCAGATTACGCATGAAGTGCCTCCTTAAAACGAAATTTTGATTTCTTCAGTTCGGCGGAGAAAGGGGTATAGCGTTGGCAGAAAGCTCCACTGAGGCAGGACTTAGATCTGAAGCTAGGAGTTGCAGGGCTTACGACTGGGCGGGGGGCGGGAGCAAACTCCCAAAGACTTTTTTCAAGTAGCAGAGCCCTCTCAGCAACCAGGAAGCATTCCTGAGGAGCTGCCAGGAGTGCGGGAGTCCAGGACCTCGGAATCTGCATACCAGCACTCAAGGTACCGGAAAAACTCCAGTTTCCCATGGGCAACAGTGGGTCCCAACCTAAACTAATAGTAATTCCACTTTACATTTATATCTTAAATGTAGTACTTTGTATCTTAAAAAGGTACCTTATCACACTCACTAAGGCAGCAAAGCACTAACGACTAATGCGGTTTGGGTAACAGAGGCTCAGAGACTGGGTAACTTTTCTAATGTCAAACAACTGGTAACTGGTGGGTCTGAGACTGGAAATCTAGGTCTTCGGAAAAGAAGACAGATTTCCTGGACTACTAGAAGAAAGCCAAAACATAATCTACCTCCAGATACAATCGCTGCGGGGAAATATGCAAAAATACTTTGCATTTCCCTTCTGCACCTCCCAATGGTTTGATGCTGGAACTAGAAATCAAACAGATAGGGTACATACAGAACTGCAGGAGGAGGCAATAACAAGTATACCCGTTGGGCAAGAAACTGAGCAGCTCTTGGAGAGTGTGTTGGAAGAGGGGAAAAGGAGGGGGAAGAGAACGGAAGCAGGAAGGAGTCTCGGGAAGATGAGAATTCCGTAACTGAGCAGCCACTGCGCTGAGCGCGGCAGCCACGTTACCTCATTGCATCTTCGCAACTCTACGACATGGACTCTGTTACCGTCCGCACCTTGCGAATGAGAAAACTGAGACTCAGGAGAGATGACCTGCCTAGGCCAGAGGGAGTGTGTGAGGAAAGCTGGGTGCAGAAGCAGAGCAGCCAGGCTGCGGAAACACCTAAACCTCCGGTCTCCGCCCCTCCACGCAGCTGGCAATCCGCACCCGCCCAGCAGGGTGTCCGAAAATCTCCTTCCAGGCGGCACGGCCACCTCCTCCCGCCCAGACCCCGCATTTCGCTCTGGGTCCATATGACCCTGGGGTCCCTGAGACCCCTGCAGCCCTCCTCCCCAACCCCCTCCTTCCCGCCGGCCGCCCAGGCCCGGCCGGCCCGCAGCCCTAACCAGAAAGGGAGGCCGGTGCCGCAGTTTGCGCCGCCGGCGGTCCCGGGTGGGGCGGACGCGAGGAACGGTTGGGGGAAAGGGCCTCGGGAGGCGGCCACGCGCCACTCACGCGTCGAACTTGTTGTTCATCCTCTCGCCGCCGCCGTCGCCACTGCCTCACGGAGTGACTTCCGCTCCGCCAGGTCCCTCCGCCTAGGGTCCGACCACTTCCGGTTGCGCGGGGCGCAGCGGAACGTCGGCGAGCTGGCCGGGAAGGGGGCGGGTACGCCAGGACGCAGCAGTCGGGCGGATGCGCTGAGCTGCTCAGGTTCGGTGGCCACGCGGGCTGCGGGCCTCGGCTCTGTCCCTGTACTTGCCTGCCGCCCGCCGGCCCGCTTGCCCTGCCCAGGGGAGCGCGTGCTGACCCCTTCCCGCGGCGGGCACCGAGAAGGACAGCTCCGAGTAGCTGACGGCGCAGACTGGATTCACGGCTCCCGACTCCAACCCCGGTGGGGCTGCACGATCCTGGACTCTCTCTTAAGCTCCCTGAGGCTCTTTCTTCTTTGGTACTCGCCATACTATACTGTAGCACCCGCCTCTTCAGGTAGCCGTGTGGATTGAACGAGATAATCAGTTTCAGGCGCTAGACACAGTAACCCTTCGTAAGTGGTGGCTATTGTTAATCTTTGTTTACTTGTGCCAGGAGCTACAGACTTGATCTCTGCTTTCTGAGGCAGTCAGGTTGAGAAACTCACTCCAGGTGACTAAGGTAGTAGAGAGGCTTACAGGAACCAGAGATGATCCCACCGTCATCAAATTGCCTGACACTCCAAATACACAGCAGCGCGGGCGCCACACACCACACACATA